ATGTTGTTGTGTAAATTATAAAATTACAGCATTCATTGATTTTGTTTAAATGTAGTTATATAATAAACGTTTATCCATGCATATGAAATCCTTTCCGGTGCGCTTGCATTATTTTGAGATTCTTTTGACATTCTGTGATTATTGATCTAACGACAAAAGAACGGTTGACCAAGTGCAGTGTTCTTTTCGTTACGCATCTCTTCGAAAAAACGGTTAATGTCAGCCTCAGTAACGACTTTTTTGCTAACAGCAAACGTTTGTAAATACTCTTTCAATTTATCTTTCATGTGGTTGTACTCGGTTATAGCATCTATTTGTTGTACTCGACCAATGGAGGCCAGTGCACGTATACCTTGCTCATATGTAGTCTCAGTAGCTCCACGTTGTTTGCCACGCTCTTCGTAAGATTTTGCTGAGTCTTCTATATCCAGCAAAAACTCTACCTTTTCCGATTTATAGAGAGTCAAACACTGAGAACATTGACACAATGCTGTACGCCAGTCATTACCCCAAAATGTAGCACCTGAAAATATAAAAGGTGTTAGTTAAATAGGAATTATTCTATAAGCAATAATAAAATTAACTAAACTTTGTTATTTTTTGAGAGCTGCTAAAGACCGTATTAGCCGGTCTTTACATGAGGCGATTTTATAGGCAACTTTTTGTTGAAAGCAACAATCGCCTGGTGCTAACGGTCTTTCACCTAATAGCTTTCAACAAATTTGTTGGACTGCCAATTTTTGATTCTCCTAATAGCCTTCAAAATCGCCTCATGTAAACACCGTATTACTTTGCTATTTCCGCCCAATTTTTGAGCTCAACAGAATTTAACCTTCCTGCACACAGGTGATTTGTGTCCCAGGCCTGGTTCCTTTTCATTAATTCTATAGGGTGCGTCTTTGAAGTTATTGAAAATATCTCTAGTTTAAATAGACAATATTCCACTTAATTTATTAAAAAAAGGATATATATATTTATTTCAAACCACAGTAGTAATTCTTATTCTAGTCCTTTAAAATGATATATTTAAAATGGGACTCATAAGAGATTTGGGCGCCCAAAACTATTATTGTTAAAATTTTAACTCAAAAAATTTTGAAAATTCGTCTTAGGCACACTTAGGCTCCGGGCCCATTGTGATGCCTCATGTGGGGTCAGAAGTTCCCAATCCCTCCTAAAACCAATTTGAGCTTTGCAGGAATTTTAGAAGACCCTTGATTTTATCGTTTATATCCTCAATGGTAAGTTTGGCGCCAGTTCATCGGCCTTCAATGTCGCAGTGCCCTGGAACCCATATCATCTTCGGGCGAAATAACTCATCCATCTCGTTAAGAGATGTGCGGCATTTCATGGCTACCATGGAGGTTGTCCACTGGCTGTCAGTGAAGATGTAGATATCAGCTTGGGATATCATATCACATTTTACCAGTTTTGTGGCTCGGTCGATTGCCATCAATTTCGCCTGAAAGACGCTACTGTGGTCCGGAAGACGAATGCTAAGGGAGATTCCCAGGTGTTCGGAGTATACACCCCACCAACCCTTCTCTCGAGCTTTAAACCATCTATGTATACATGGATGGACTCGCCACACCTTGGAGTGTCTCGTTTCCACTCTTCCCTTGAAGGTAGGAGGGTTATAAATGCTGTAGTGGGAGCAGGGTTCGAAAGGGCGTAGCCCACCAATCCGTGAAGCTCCGAAAACTACTTATTTAGACTATTCATAAGAATATCCGCAACGCTTGCAACTTGTTTGGCATGTAGATCTACCGAAAGAAAGCTCAGTGGGACACCAGTTATGAGTGTGGGCGCAAGCCTTTGGACCCTATCCATTTTTGAAGTCTACCCCTTTCCCAAGGGTGTCCCACCATACCAGTATGCCGTGATAGAGAATTGGCATAACTACCGCTGTGTATAGCCAGTGTATTATTTTGGGTTCCATCCCCCATCTTTTTCCTATTGACCTGCTGCAAGAATATAGTGCTACTGTTGCTTTGCGCACTCTATCTGCAATATTGGGCCACCATTTTAGTTTCCTATCTAGTATGAGACCTAGATATTTGATATCTTCCTCTACTTCAAGGGTTGTTCCCTCTAGAGTTATAGCATCAAGGTCGGGTATCTTGCGCTTCCTAGTGAAGAGCAGTAAGTCCGTATTTTCAGGATTTATTCTCAGTCCTCGCCTGTTGCACCATAGGGATAGTTTGTTTAAGATATCTTTGAATTAGGATCGGACAATGTTGGGGGTTTTTTTCAAGATAGCTATTAAAATATCGTTGGTGTATGCAATTGTTTTCCCACCAATATCTTCAAGTTCTTGAAGGAGGCTATGTTCCACAGAAGCGGTGAGATTACTCCCCCTGGGGCGTTCCCCTTTACTGGGAATCTCTTTATTTGCGATTCATCCAACCCTGCGCTTATCTCCAGTCCGGTTAGCATTCGTTCTATAAACGAGGTTAATGAGTGGCTTACACCCAAATTTACCAGCGATGAGATAATCTCCCCAGGAGATATGTTGTTGAAAGCTCACTCGAGGCACTAAGGCAGCGAGGGTGTATTATTTACAATATAGTGATCTTTCAATTGCTTGCACTAGGGAGTGGAGTGCCGTTTCAACTGATCTTCCTTATTGTAGGCATGCTGGGCAGTGTTGCCACTTGAAAAATTTTTAGGTACCAAAACGCCTACCAAATCAGTTTCCGAACTACCAAAATTTTTCATCATTAAAACGAGATTTCACGAGTTTGCGGGGGTTTTAGCTACACAAACTAGCAGTAAAAATTAGAACTACACATAATATTGTTTACAGTATTGGTTAATTATTCACACCAATCTTTAAGATTAAACAAAATAAATTCGGGCCTTTAAATAAAATAATTAAGTTATTGTATAAAAAACTGCTGTAAAATATGTTAATATCTTTGAGATTGATTTAATTCATATCAAAAAATCTTTTTTTGTGTGTGAAAAAAACAAAAGCATTTCAATAAAAAAAATTCCAAATTTGATTCAATTTGCATGCCCTCACCCTTTTTACCAATACACTCACACTTTGCAAATTGCCTATCACCAATTTTTCTTTCAAAACGTTAGGTAATTTCTTGTTAATTTCAACAGCTAATCGGTCATAGCTTTAGGAAGTGAGTTTTTGTTTGCAGAAAATTGTTTGCTTAATAAAATAAATAAAAATATAGAGTAATCTTATACGTGTAAGCAGTGTTTTGAACGTGTAAACTTAAATTAAGCGAACAAATTTTAATGTTCAATTTGGTTGTATTTTCAAAACATTTTTGCCTACCAAAAGCTTCATCAAACCAACCAAGCTACCAACGCGGAATGAAGCTACCAATTTTGGTCCAATTGGACCAAAACGGAAACGCTGATGCTGGGCTGCCGAAAGTTTGCTGCCCACCTTGTCTCTAATATGTCCATCTATTAGTCGCTCTAAAGATTTGAGCAAGAAGGACTAATCGGCCTAAAGTCTTTTGGTCCCGTGTGTGTTGTTTTTCCTTCTTTAGAAATGAAAACTATTCTTATTCCTCCCATTTGTGGGGTATTTAATTAAGTCGTAACACTGCCTGAAAAACGGGTACGAGTATGGGTGCAATCCTTTCTGCTGTATGCTGTAGGTCGGCGGGAATGATTCCGTCTGGTCCCGGAGACTTATACGGTTGGCGACTGTTAATGGCCCGTTTTATGTTCTCCGCAGTAATAAGGTTCGCTGGGAGGTCATCGTTATTGCCTGTTGTCCACAAAAGTTTGACATCGATAAACTCCGATCCCCGAAACACTAGTCTTTTCAAACCGTCTGAAACCCTTTATTTACATACTAGGGATATTGCGAATGTGGAATTTTAGACATCCGCGGATGCGAATTCGGATACGGATGTCTAAAAGCTAACATCCGCGGATGCGAATGCGGATGTGAAGTATTTTTAAGAAATAATTTAGGTAAGTAAACTTAATATAATAGATTGGTGCCAACACATATCGTCACTAGACACGAATATAGGCGCGCTAGAGTTTTGACGGCGAAAAAAGGCGGGGAAACAATTTTACGAAAAAAGAGGCATAAGAAAAACTTCGGCGAAGAAAAACATAGATTTATATCTGACCAAGAACTGTCACTTGAGCATCATTCCCAAAAAACGGTGACAGGTAATAAGGTCAATGGAAATAATGTCAATTGACTTTATTTCCCACCCTGGTGCGAAATAAAGTCAATTGACATTATTACCTTTTCAAAAGCGAAATAAAGTCAACAAAAATTTGGAAATAAAGTCATTGAGGCTATTTCCTCATTCAAATGGAAATAGCGTCAACAATGCTTAAAGTATGTCGATTCATAGAAAAAAATGTTGTTCTTACAATAAACATTGCCCCGTAAGTGTTGTTTTTTAATAGAAGAAAAAGGCTTTTACCAAATCCTCAATGTTGTGATATTAATCCACACACAATCATGAACTACCACCAAGTGATTCTATTAAAAAAAAATTTTAATTACGAATATGTAAAAACACGATGCGAAAAACTAAACGCCTGCGCACAGCTGGAATATGAGAAATATTTGAAGAAAGAGTGGAGAAATGATCCATAACTTGCAAAACATTTTTCGTTTCTACAAAAATAAAGCGAACACTATTAAATTGAAGAATCAGTACATGTCCAAAAACCCCGGAGGAGCACTGAAAGAATTCTGTGTTTTAAACTAGCATATTTTGAACGAATTCGGAATGTCTAAGGTGGAAAAGAGCCCAACTTTTCTATAAGGAAACAATTATAAAAAATGAATTTTCTTACACTGTATTTATGCCTCCGCCAGCAGTCAATTAAAAGCAGCTAAGGAGAACGACGACACTACTTATTAGATGGCACATTCAACGAGCCAATGTGCCAAAATGCGGGTATAAACAATTATTGATTATTTAATATCGGAACCGAGATCATATAAGTTAATGGATTGGTTTTCACACACTTTTGAAACACAAATTATATGCTTTTTTACTGCAGACAAGTTGTTGCCTCAAAACACAGCAGAAATCTTCCAATCAGGGCTGCCAACTCTCCTTAGTTATGAGGTGCCATACTGAGGATAAAAAAAGTGCCAAAATGTGCCAAATAGAAAAATAAAAGTGCGAAAAAGGTGTAATTCCTTTTAATCATTCACATTTAGCAATAAAATAAAGCCACATTTTCAAAACAAAAGTGCAATGATAAAATAAGATAAACCAGTCGAAAAGCCTTTATAAATTAGAAAATTTTAATTGAGCAAAAGAAGTGCACGCAAAGGATTTCACAAAACTGTATTGAAATATTATTTTTTTACAAAAGTGCCATTTTGTGCCAAATTGAAAAATTAAGTGCCATTTGAAGTAAAATAGGAACAAATGGCACGGTTTGAGCCAAGTTGGCATCCCTGCTTCCAATAACTTACAAATATAAAAATGTGAAATATCGAGGGCTTGAATTCATTAATACCCTCTATCGGCAATTTGCACAAAAACTAATTTGTGATTTTAGAAACCATCTGGGACTTATTACCTGTCGT